TTCACTCAACTTTTGTGAGCGCCGCTACTCTTTGCACCATAACTCATACATTTAATAAAACTTTTTTGCAAAAATAACTTCTCATTTATACTATTAAATTGATGACATATTTCGCAAACTTTTTTTTTATAATTTTTTAATGTTTTATAAGTGAAATGAAATAAATATTTTTATATTAAAATCCTAAAAATTGTTTTAAGAATATATATTTTATATATAATACTTATATTCATATAGTAGCTTTTCAAGTTGTTTTCATAATTTATTTTAATTATAGTTACAGTAATATCTCAAAACATCTTTACAACATTTATTCAATAAATTCGTTGATTCAGTAAACATATAATTATTATTCTTTAAATGATATTACAGTATTGATTTGAGTTATTTATCTTCAATATACATAAAACATTACATAAGATAAATAAATTGTCATTATAATCTTATTGAATTAATCAGTAACCATAAAAGAAGTAGTGTATAACCCAGATTTAATTCAAAGTTAGAATATTGTGTAAATTTAATCTACTTGTTTAGACATTAGTGTTGTAAAGAATATTGATTATAGTTATGGCTTAATACTATAAACACAAAGTACTATTAATTTGTTTAATGCTTTTGTCTTCTGGCGATTATATACTCCGAGTACGAAATGAAGCCATCGTTGTCTCTGTCGTATTCCTCCAGTAATTTATCGATTGCTTCTAAAGATATTAATTTAAATTACATTTAATTATTAAAATGAATCATAAATGAATGAATGAAGGGATAGGGAGGTTATGTGAATAGTGCTGTAAATATAATATTTTGTATAATGTTTTGATTGACATTTTACTTATCATCAGATCACTAATTTATTAAGGAAATAACAAATTAAATAAAATTAAATAACTTAAAGTAAATTAGATTAATATAGAAAATATTTTATTGATTAAAGTCCTTTAATAAATTATGTTAAAATTGAATATGATTGATTAAAAATATTAGAAAACAGACTTCCAGAAAATTCGGGTTAATAAATTTAACATTTTTTTGTAAATCATATAATTTATCATTTACCTGTATACTGTATATACTAAATAAAATTATTGTCTAATGAATTGCAAAAGATATTAGAAAAATCTTTAATTTTGAACATGAGGATCATGTAATCATATACTAAAGTTTAATAAAGAGCAAAATTTTGATAATTTAATTTAATTTAAAATTTATAACTTTATAATTCAATTGTTAACCATTAAATACTGGTTTAAACAAAAATTAATTTTATAAAATGTATGTATTGTATGATATAAAATAATATTGAATATACAGCACTCACTCGAGTCTTCATCAAACTTATCGTTCCAACGAACTTGAGTTCTAAACCTTTCTCTAATCCTATAGAACTCCATGGGATCCTCGTGCTCCTCATCATTGGATTCAGCCTAACAATCAATTCATTATTTTAATGAAATTAATTCATAAATTACTTGTTCACATTTTCTAATAATAAGAATATACAATATCTAAAATACAATTATCGGTGGATCATTTTCATATAGGCTGTATTTTAAAAACACCTGTATTTTTGTTAAAACTATTATTAAAATTATCAATTCTTTATAGAGGTTTAAATTTACTGCAGTAAATTCATAATAAAATACTAGTAACTTACAAATTAAATAAAAAATCAATCAATATACAATAATCAATGATAATTAATTACATTTAGTATACATCAAATTTAGTCATTTGTTTAGTATGTGTTGTCATCCATTGGAGAGAATAGAAACTCAAACAGAATCTGGATTTTGGATATTACTGTTAATACAACTTTTCCTTTTGAAATAAAACTTACTAAAAATAATGTATATTTTATAATAACTGTTTTAATTAACAAATATTCTCTGTATTTAAAATTGATATAAAATTATTAAATTATTAAATTAAGTAATTATCTTGTAATACAGTATTTTGATTATAATAAACTTAGAATTAACAAAATCCTTAACTAGTTTATCATTTAAAACGCTATAAATTTGTATTATTATATCTAGATGACATATCTATAAGATGACAGAGTAAATAAATATAAACTTGTATGAAAGATTTTTGAAATACAAATATTTTCACCCGTTCATTATAGATGATGAAAATAAGCGACTATATAAATGTCTTACATTTGGTGATTGAGTTGTTGTGGACTCAGCCCTGGCCCGCAGGTAGTCCTCATCGATCACGTGATTCATAGCCGTTAAAATTTCGAGACCATCCAGGACAAGATTATTGTCGAAGTCGTGCATTTGGAAGTAATAAAAGTCCAACTCTTTCTCTGGTGTCTTGCTGTCCAGATCGATGTGGTACTGTTCCTTCACGTCTTCCCTTATATGGCTTTAAACAGAAAATATTATATTTATAACAAATAATTTCATCTAATTTTCTAACTCGAGATTAGGGTCCAAGAAATTGCTGTGATGTTTGTGTGTGTTGTGTGTGTCTTGACTGCTCGCCATAATTAGACAATTCGTAGCAAATATTACACATTTTAAAAACATTTTCATTAAATTTAATTAGAATTAAATTTATAAATTTTATGATTACAAGTATAATACTGGAAAGTAAATGTTGGCTTTAGGTAATAGAGTGCCAACATGTGCTTGTTATCTGCCTTAAGCCAAGTCATTCTTTACTTTATTATCAATTCTCAAATATTAATCAATTAATTAGTGATTTCTGCTAAGAAATTATCGCATTAAATGAATTATTGACTTACTGGTTAGTATTAGTCAATTATTGACAAAACTTAAAATAAAAAATCTTTTTTATTATATTTGATATAATTTATAAATATTTTTCTATTTGACGTTAAAGTGTATATAAATTTACAATCGAAATGGTTTTAAAATAAAAATAAACATATAATTGACATGAATGTGTATATAAAACTTAATATTTAATTTAATTTAATTTATATGTATATAAAGTAATGACTGAAATAGAGTATAGGAACAGATGTCACGATTGCAAGCCTTCATTGGATGGAGTCTTGAGTTTGTTTTCTTGTCGTAAATTCGGTGACTGAGTCCTTGTATGCCAAACGAGGATTTCGGTGCAATTGTTGGCTTTGGGCTCGAGTTCATGGACACCACTGACCAGATGTTGTATGAAAAAGCTCTCCTGATATCCACGACTCACTTCGAGGGAGAATTTGGCGTTTGGTTTGTCGAGCAATAGCTGTATATTAACCGCAAATCCGGACATATCCATAGGAAAGGGTCTCTCCTTCTTCCACAACGTATTCCATGCCTCGACTCTTCCGTTCCTCACGAGTGGTCTTTCGACCAGAAGTCCTCCGACAAGACCCACGGGCCAGACGGACACACGCCTCGTGTCCCGCATTTCGGCGAATATCTTCAGGTCGTATGTGTTGTCGTCGTCGGCGAAGTACACGACACCCTTCCTGTCAATAATGGCCACATTATTACGAATCCATTCGATGCCTGCATTCCTCTGCAGCACACCTCTTGGTTTGAGCCAATTTGGATCAGTTGTCTTCAGCTTGAACTGCGGTGGAGTTAATGCATTCAAATGAGTATAACTCAAGTGACCATAATATTTTGTTAATTCTAAGTTTATTATAATCAAAATACTGTATTACAAGATAATTACTTAATTTAATAATTTAATAATTTTATATCAATTTTAAATACAGAGAATATTTGTTAATTAAAACAGTTATTATGAAATATACATTATTTTTAGTAAGTTTTATTTCAAAAGGAAAAGTTGTATTAACAGTAATGTCCAAAATCCAGATTCTGTTTGAGTTTCTATTCTCTCCAATGGATGACAACACATACCAAACAAATGACTAAATTTATTTGATGTATGCTAAATGTAATTAATTATCATTGATTATTGTATATTGATTTATTTTTTATTTAATTTGTAAGTTACTAGTATTTTATTATGAATTTACTACAGTCAATTTAAACCTCTATAAAGAATTTATAATTTTAATAATAGTTTTAACAAAAATACAGGTGTTTTTAAAATACAGCCTATATGAAAATGATCCACCGATAATTGTATTTTAGATATTGTATATTCTTATTATTAGAAAATTTCAACAAGTAATTTATGAATGAATTTCATTAAAATAATGAATTGATTGTTAGGTTGAATCCAATGATGAGGAGCACGAGGATCCCATGGAGTTCTATAGGATTAGAGAAAGGTTTAGAACTCAAGTTCGTTGGAACGATAAGTTTGATGAAGACTCGAGTGAGTGCTGTATATTCAATATTATATTATATTATATTATACAATACATACATTTTATAAAATTGCTTTTTGTTTAAACCAGTATTTAATGGTTAACAATTGAATTATAAAGTTATAAATTTTTAATTAAATTAAATTCTCAAAATTTTGCTCTTTATTAAACTTTAGTATGTGATTACACGATCCTTATGTTCAAAATTAAAGATTTTTCTAATATCTTTTGCAATTCATTAGACAATAATTTTATTTAGTATATACAGTATACAGGTAAATGATAAATTATATGATTTACAAAAAAATGTTACATTTATTAACCCGAATTTTCTGGAAGTCTGTTTTCTAATATTTTTAATCAATCATATTCAATTTTAACATAATTTATTAAAGGACTTTAATGAATAAAATATTTTATATATTAATTTAATTTACTTTAAGTTATTTAATTTTATTTAATTTTATTTAATTTGTTATTTCCTTAATAAATTAGTGATCTGATGATAAGTAAAATGTCAATCAAAACATTATACAAAATATTATATTTACAGCACTATTCACATAACCTGCCTATCCCTTCATTCATTCATTTATGATTCATTTTAATAATTAAATGTAATTTAAATTAATATCACTTCTTCAGAAGCAATCGATAAATTACTGGAGGAATACGACAGAGACAACGATGGCTTCATTTCGTACTCGGAGTATATAATCGCCAGAAGACAAAAGCATTAAACAAATTAATAGTACAGTACTTTGTATTTATAGTATTAAGCCATAACTATAATCAATATTCTTTACAACACTAATGTCTAAACAAGTAGATTAAATGTACACAATATTCTAACTTTGAATTAAATCTGGGTTATACACTACTTCTTTTATGGTTACTGATTAATTCAATAAGATTATGACAATTTATTTATCTTATGTAATGTTTTATGTATATTGAAGATAAATAACTCAAATCAATACTGTAATATCATTTAAAGAATAATTTGGGCTTACGTAATTATATGTTTACTGAATCAAAGAATTTATTGAATAAATGTTGTAAAGATGTTTTGAGATATTACTGTAACTATAATTAAAATAAATTATGAAAACAACTTGAAAAGCTACAATATAAATATAAGCTACTATATGAATATAAGTATTATATATAAAATATATATTCTTAAAAAGATTTTTAGGATTTTAATATAAAAATATTTATTCCATTTCACTTATAAAACATTAAAAAATTATAAAAAAAAGTTTGCGAAATATGTCATCAATTTAATAGTATAAATGAGAAGTTATTTTTGCAAAAAAGTTTTATTAAATGTATGAGTTATGGTGCAAAGAGTAGCGGCGCTCACAAAAGTTGAGTGAATGTCTGTTCTAAAAGCAGTCCATTAGTGTTACTTTGGGACTGAATCCTAAGTCAATTATATGAGAGCACTGTTAGTTACAATATTGGATGCAAAGTATATTATAGGTCTATATTCTGCAAGTTTGGCATCACTTGTGAAGTAAGCAAAGCATAACTCCTGTAGCTTTCGATATAAAGTTACGTTTGAATGACTGCAACACAAATGGTTTTATCGACTCTTTAGTAGACTCTAACGCCTCTATCCTCTAATCAGAGATGCGATGACTGCAGAGATGAGTGAAAAGATGATCAAAAGAAGTTCATCCCTTAGGGCTCACCATTGAATGCGCGTATATTTTTTCTTTATAAACAAAAATAGTCATCGCATAGATTGAGCCTCAGGTGGACATCAGCTCATGAATGTGGACCAAAAGTCTTTTTCATAGACTCAGACTGTACTGCACAGAAATGCCGCACTTTTGTCCAATGCTTTGGTATAGTATAGTATTGTCTTGAAAATGTCTTATCTATGGGAAAGAGTGCTTATGCGGCAATATTTGCGTAAAAGAGCTACTTTTGCATTCTTGGCCTCTCCTTTGTACACAATTTCCATCATATGATGTATAGATTGTAATGATATACTGTATGGAAGGGAATGGTATGGTATAGAGAAGTGCAGAGAGTACTGCAGTAGAGTGTAGGCCGTGAGCACCCAATTCACGCCCAATTGAGTCGTATAGCAATTTAGTTCAGTAATGAACAGATAATTGAAATGTGCTCTACTCTCGAGTCCGGAGGGGGTGAACAGTGCCAACAGAGCTCCCGATGTATTATTCAGTATTGGAGTTACAACTCATTCAAATTCATGAGGGATTCTCTCCATCTCTCTCTCTCATCTCTCTCTCTCTCTCTCTCTCTCTCTCTTCATTCACTTCATGTGCAAATCATTTGAAATCTTCAAAACACTATTCACTCACTACTGCCCACACATCACACACAACACAGATGTCTAGTCTTATACAGTTATTCCTCAACATATCTCTGATTGCTTCCCAATTGTTAATTGTTTTTGAAATTATTCTCTATTACCTGAAAATGAATCAAAATTTTATTCCTTAAAAAGTTATTTTACATTTATTTAGTATTTAATAGAAATGAATAAAAGATTGAATGATTGGGACTAATATTCATGGATAAGAAAAACAATTAACAGGGAAATGCAATTCAATCACAGAATAACAGTAACTGTAATAGCAACAAGGCAATCGAAGTGATTACAAGAGTTTGAAATCTCAATACATCCGAAACTAACGGAAATTAATTTCTATGACAAACCTCTTTTAAATGAAACTCTACTTAATATTTAGATTAGAAATAAGTTTGAACACATCAAACAGATATGACAGCGGAGGCAGTGGTGGCGGAGGAGGTAGTGTTTGCAGCAGTCGTTTGCGTGCAGTCATCGAATAACACTTAATCCTCTTCTACTTCAATAGTCATATCCATTGCCTGAATAGCACTTTAACTGAACATTAAGTGTAATTTGCTTTCAAACTGAAACTCTTTTGAAGAATTGCTCGTTTGAAGCGAATTCATGGCTTATAATTGATGTATAAGAATACTATACACTATATAATACAGACCTTCAGGTATGTCGTGGCCGAAGGACTGTCCATCTGGTGAGTGGGCACGTGTTGTTCGGGTTTTGGTATCGTTTTGCATACACACGCCAGCACACGTGAAAGTGATGTGTATGTCGGGCACTGCTATACTGATATCCATGAGCCCTAGTAAGTGATGACAGGTGGCCTCAATAGTGAGCACCCGCTGCGAGACTCCCGTCACTCTCTGTTCTCTCTTTTTTCACTTACGATTTCGTTGTGTTTGTATTCATCACTCTATTATGACATTAATTACAGCACTGGAGGACAACATTGCATACAATTACCGAAAACACGTGCCGATCGACCAAAACACGCGCCTATTAATGAGCGTTCAATTTATACATTTTCTCCAAACATCAACTCATATCAAAACTAGTGTCTGACAAATTCAATGCCATTTCTTTTCCATCTATACATCACTGAACTCAGTGGTCTATATTCATGAATCGGACAATTATTAAGACAAAAATGAGAATAATTTTAAAATAAGAGTTAGTTTTAAAGGATTGTAAGGCAATAGCGAAGAAGTGTCATCACTAGCGTATGGAGTGTGGGTTGGGTTGAGTCTGCAGAATGACTGTCAGCCACCAGAATGGATGTAAGCGTCTGTAGTCTGTATGCGTCGCCCTATTATCTCAGGCTCTGGCTATGGCTGTGTCGGTGATTTAATTTTGGAAATGTCGTCACAAAACTTAATTTTGTTCAATAAATTCTTGTTATAATAATTTTTATTGACTTTCCTTCACTCCCACCGTCTCTTAAACACATTTCTTGTCACAAAAGACTAAACGCTTATTACATTTGAGTTCCGCTTTACATATTCAATACAATCGTCGTTTGCTATCAATAAAAATGCATTTTATATCAAAATTGTTTGTAATAATTGATTTATTTCAAATTATTTCCGATGCAATACTTTGTAAGCTAATTCTTAAAACATTTGTTAACCTTTGGAAAGCTTTAAATGAAACACAATTATAAAATATAAACATTGACACAATGTTAATATAAATTGTGCTAATTGTGAGTATTTGCTAGGATTTAGCTAAGATTTACTTAAATAATTTAATGCAATTGTATCCAAATATGGTTTTCGATATAGAACTTTAATAATATTCTTTATTTATTATATTTTAATATATTTTATTTTTTGTTTTTAACATAATAGCCTTTTTAAGTTAATCAATTATGAGATACTGTTAGCGATTACAATGAGATTATTACTGTATAATAGGAAATGGTATTAAATTACTAAGCATTTAATTTAGAATTAATTGTTTTGTCAAATCAAAGGAAATAAGACAATGAGAAAGAGTTAGTAAAAAGCGATTAATTAATGAAATGTTTTATTCGCTAATTTCATTGAAAAGTGTTTAGCGATTGAAATGATTTTATTTAAATAAATTAATTACAAACTGAATTGAATATTAAATTCACAAATGTTGTTCACATTGAATATAACGTTAAAATAATTTATTTCTATAGTCTATAGAATAAGAAAATAAAACCTATAGAAGAGAAGCTGAGAATTATTTTGGATGAGAGAGTGATATATACAATGAATGGGGGAATGGATTGTATTGGAAAGGAATGGTAGGAATGGTATGAGAGATGTAGGAAAGTAGTAGCAATCGATTGAAGTGCATTAGTCTACAGACAGTACTGATCGTACAGTGGAGTATATGGTAGTAATGTTAGCAGAGATGATGAGAGTAATGGTGATAATGGAGTAGGAGAGAGATGCCTGCGATGGAGAGCCAACGGAGGGCAGGCCTACCAATGGGAAGGCAGTGGAGTACTAGACAACACGTTTTATTGGTCGTGTCGTATCGGTTATAAGACGGATGGCCTCTCTTATAACTTCGTTAGTCAGTACGAGTTATCAACTCACGGAGGCTAAGGTTTAAAACTTTTTGACCGAAAAATTAATGTCAAACGACAAGTAGATTCCAAACGATATTTATTTATAAAAATTTCTGATAATTTCATCTCAAGATGGGCGACAGTGGATCTGTTGAGCAGAGTATAGCCCATCACATCTCTCACCGCAATTTGTCAGACAAACGCAAATCCATTGCTTGCAATGTATCGGTTCTGTCGGGAGAAGCAGACTTCGCGGCCACTCTTTACGGCATCAGCACTGGTAGTGCCCACCACTCGCACGATGCCATCACTTCCAACCCCATGTCACTGAACAGTCATCGGTCTTCACTGATCACCGAACAGCAGCACCACTCGGGTAAGTCATTCATGTCATTGTCTCTACACTAAACCCACTGACCATTGAGTTCTTCACGTGGCGTGACGTTTGTCTAATAAATTCAATAAATCAACTATAAATTAAAGGCTAGTATTCGTGAAAAGGCTGTAATAATTGGCAGAAATTCACTTTTGTTGGTGTAATGCAATATATTGTATATATTGTTCAATTAGAGTGAAATACACTTTCATATACCTGTGCTTTTTGTATGGCTTATTAAATTCTAAATGTCATTAGTTTGGGCTCAAAGCCAGTCTATTATATTAAAGAGTGACTAAGAATGCAATTATTTCTAATACCAACTCAATTCACAAAAAGTCATTTCACAGCATCTCATTCATCCGATGGATGTTTGCATTCATCCAAAACATTCATTTCATTCGTTGATCGCATAACAATCCAATTGCTTTTGACAACTTCTCACTCAATCTATACAGCGATTAAATTTATTTTAAACAAATTTATTTTCATTTCATTTGATTTCTTTCTACAATTCAATAATTTCTTGAGTCTAGTGTTCAATAGTCTTTAGTTTTGCGCATGAAATACATGAATGAATACATGTGTCACTCAAACACTCTTTACT